GTTCCTGTTGACGTTAGTGGTAGTGAAGTAACAGTCATAATTTATGTAACTTACCATGTGCCCAGGATTTACATAAAGTGCTTTCTATGATTGTTTTGATCCTAACAATTCTATGGAGTAGATGTTAAGTACCTGAAGATCTGCTAATAAGGGGGTATCACCAGATTTTAAACCCATATGTGACAATTTCCACTATACTGTCACTACACCAGAAACCCCTACTGATTTTTAAATACAGCCAAAACCATAGCCTGTTATAATTAACAACAACAAAAAAACCATAGCCTGGTATAATTAATCACAATTTCTCGGGGGTGAGACATCAGTATTTTTTTGAAGCTCCTTGGTGATTGCAACGTGCAGTTAATTTGGGGAAGCACTACCATTTGTGCTCTCATCAAGAGTTCAAGCAAAGCTGTACTGAACATGACACAGTAGTGTCCTTCCAACATACCTGGTAATTCGACACATTCTAAACTTTAATCACTGTGCCAGATTACATTTCTACAAAACAACCTCATAAAAGTAAAACAAATACAGGATAAATCAAATGTCAGCAAATTATTAACAGCCCTGATTCTCTCTTAAAAATAATCAAGAAATATGCACAATTATTAAATTTTTATAGCAGGTAAATATCTAATCACACATTCCCAAAACCTGAACTAGTTTTTCAGGTTTGTGTGTCCCATGTTGCTTTTAGCTGCCATCAATTCCAACTAATGGCAAGCTCACATGCAGAAAACTCCACAGCGCCCTTAATAATGCATTTTTTAAAAATCACAGATCTTCTTGAAGCCCGTCCAATTTTATAAAACCTAGCATTCAGCTCTAAAGCAAGGCCAGTAACACGGAGCAGCAGAATAACTGAAGGATCTCTGCAGCAGGTTTTCAGAGATTTCACTACCATCATTGCTTGAAATGCATCTTCCTCAACAGTTAAGTAACCTCACAGTACATAAAGAACATGTAACTGTCCTAAAGAAAAAGCCACAATATCTTATTTTCAATGATAGTCTACTAATTAAAAGCCCTAGCAAAATACATCTCTCATTTTATTGGGTAAGCTTAAATAAAAATTTGACTTTACAGAAAAATTTCACATTATGTGCTTTTTCTAAGGAGCTCTGGTGGCACAGTGGTTAAAGCATGAGGCTGCTAACCAAAAGGTAAGCAGTTGAGACCAGAAGGACCACATGGTGCTGGCTACCAATGCCAACCACTCAGAAAAGGATCAAATCAGGAGATCCTGGAGAGTGGGAGGGAAAACGTGGAAAATCCAAAACATAGTAATGACCAGAATTACTGGCTGGATGGGAGTTTGGCGAGTCCTGGGATACATTCTGGGCCTGGAATAAAGCTCACTCCCAAGGGCTGGCTCATAGCCCAGTAGTAAACAAGGTGTACACGCAGACCACTCAACCAAGGATGATGCACCCACATACTCTGTGGAAATGCATCCCTTGGAGCAATCACCACGGGGCACCAGCGGGGCAACATTCACATGGAGGAAACGCAGGACACACAGGAGTGCTGACTATGAGGGGCACGGTGGAGGGTTATTGGGCAGGGAGAGGAGGAGACTGGGTTAGGGCTGCACGGTAAATGGGGAGTGAAACTAAATGTACATGTAAAAAAAGAAAAAACAACAAAAGGTCAGTAGTTTGAAACCACCAGCTACTCTCAGAAGAAAGATGAGGTTAATTTGCTTCAATAAAGATACACAGCTTGAAAAGCCTGTGGGGCAGTTTTACTGTGTCCTCTAGGGTCATTATGAGTCAAAATACACTTGATGGCAGTGGGTGGGGTGTCATTTCTAATCTAGGATTATCTGTAAATTACTGGACAGGACACACCATTTCTAAGAAAAGCACATCCTAATATAACTTTCATAAAATTTACAAGTAGATTTTACAGAGTTGTCAACCTGAGTAGAACCTGAGTAAAGGTGTAATTAAACAATTTCTCCAAGAAAACCACCCATTTTTGATATATTCCAAAATAAATCTAAAATGTTTATGTAACTCTAACACAGTACATAAGAACAATACCAGCATAAAAAGAGAAAAATATTTCTGTAGCTACCAGGTCCTTCAACAAACTGAACTTGAAATATAAACCTGATGCTGACACTTCCCTATTTCAACTTTAGTAATATTTATGAGATTATTATTATTCTATCCTTAGTTTTTTGAAATGCTACTTTAAATCCATTACCTTAAAAATTTTGCTCATTACTAAATTTTCATAAAATAAGGGGAGGAGGTGTATTACAAAGAAGGACCAGGGAACTCTGGGGATAACAGATGTGTTAACTACCTTGATGTGGCAAGTTTCACGGATATATATATCAAAATTTAAATTATATACATTCCATGTGTGGTTTACTGTATCCCAATTTACACCTCAACATAAGGTGGTTTTAAAAACAAACAAACAAACAAAAAACGCTGCAAAGAAACATTAACTTGAAGCAGCCAAAATTACCCCCCACCCCAAACCTAATGGCCTAGTTCTGACTCCAGTAATACCACACTGGATCTACAATTTGCCTAGTTACTATACTTGTGGGCACCCTTTCAAACATATGGTCATTAACTCTTTATCAGCTATCCCTTATTTAGATTCGAAGTTAAAATTAGGCTTACTAAGCTTTAATAGTTCTCTAAACTCCATGTGTATGTATGGATCTACCCTCTCAGTAACCAAATTTGTTAATGGTATCAATTACCACATAGGCTGAATATACAATAGTACTCTAATCATACAATGTAAATACTAACATGTTCCATATCATAATATGTGAAAGCACAATAAACATTAATTAACTGTTGGTAAATGAAAATTAAAGCAGAAAGAATTATCTGAATATGAGGAGGAAGATGTCAGAAATAATTACAGAATTTCCTATGAAAGCTATTGAGAAAACAGAGTAAGGTTAAGATTTTAAAGGTAAACTTATAGTAAGAAACCACATTTCACAGGTCTCTTTTAGTTTCTTTTGGCAAATAAAATCTGCATCTGATAGATTTTACTAATCTATTAAACAAATCAATCTAAACACAGAGTCCACAAAACATTCAAATATGTGATACTGACACAACTTTGTCCAAGCAGGCTTGGCATTCTCCCGTGGCTATTGCTACATTTAACTTTAGATAATTACACCGAATTGTGGTGTATAACATAGTAAAAGCTTATTTAATTTAAAGATAATCCAACAAGGTACATTTAATATTTTGTTACCACTAACTTATCCTCAAAGTTTTGTGGGGTGAAAAGTGTGTGGTTTTAGTTTTCATTTCTTTGCCACTACTATTCTCAGTAGGGTAAAAAAAAAAAAAAAATCAGGTTCCTGATGAATGCTGAAACGGAAACAACAAAAACAGTGCAGAGCGCTGTAAAACACAATTTTAAAAAACACACTCTTAAGATTAGAACAAATTGACATAAAACATAAGAGCATTTTTGCTAAGATAATGCTCTTTACCATCAGTTTATGTTTAAACATGGAGACAAGATGGGGAAAACTAAAAGCAAAGTAGGAGTAAACAGACCAGAAAAATAAAAATATAAATATGCAGAGTCAAATACTCTTTCAGTCAGCAGTAAAACAGAAATGATTCTAATTAATATGCAAATCAAAATAAAGTGAACTTTCATTCAATAAGCTTGTTAAAGCAGTTGACAACCCAAAAACTGTTTGCCACGCACTCTTTCCTAAACTCAGAAAACTAATCACCGTCGTTAATTTAAAAAGTATACTTTGTTTTGATGAATGAGTAGAGCATGTTGTATTTTAAGACCAATACCTTGAACATTACAAAGAAGACAATATTCTGAAAATCCAGTTTATTTTCCATGTTGTGGACAGATCCAGTCAATGTGATCAGTTTTTCTGCATGTGTAATAATTTATCAAAATAAGTTTTCCCACAAGACTCTTTTCCATCAATTCTGAAAATCCTGGTCTGACAACATACTCAAATAAAGCTCTCGAAAAATCACCTCTTAAATTTGGAAGAAAGTGTGGTAAGTCTTTCCTGTAACATTTACTGTACTACAAACGGCTAAAGAGCAATTTATGTTTTAAAAGGTGACTAGTACAACAGTTGAGTTCAGGAAATTAATGTTTTAGTGCACTTTGCTCCAGTTTTAGCCAACATGCTACATTGTCCTTGTTTTGGGGTGCACAAAGTGGACTTGAGGATTTCCATTGTACGAAAAAGATATGACTCTGCAAGCAAACAGTGTAAGCTGCCTTTTTTTTTTTTTTTTCTTAAGACCTGGACATTTTAAGACAGAAGCTTTGCAAAACATTACACAATTTTTTATTATTGAGAAAATCTCATTTGTTACATCGTCACATTGCTAGTCAGAGAAATGCCGCAGTGATGAAGAAAGTCAATGTTGGATCAACCAAAGTCCTCATTTCTACAACATTCATTTACAAAGAAATAATGTTCAACACAGCCCAACAAAACATTCTTGGTTTTCTTCATACTGAAGTCCCCCCAAAAAATCATCTTCTAATGGGGTATTTTCTACATAAATTATAGTTCTTCATTTTTACAATTCACCCCAAACTGTATGAGAGATGTATCACACTAAAATTTCTAAAGCTGTCAGGAAATCCTTCACACATCATCATCGTCTGATGTGTCACTGCTACTTGTCTCTGTGTCATCATTCTCAATAGTGGGTTTGAAAGTGCTGTTTTTCCAGGGTCCAAACTTGAAGTCACAGATCAGGCCATTTTTCAAAATCCCGTTTTTCCTCAGACCATTCTTCTGTAACTGAAATGTCAAAAATCAATCAATAAATAAACAGATGAATAAACTACCCCCTCAAGAGTAATCCACAAGTTAACAATACTATATATAATAGCTGTTATCATAAATATAATAAAATTAATAAACGTGTATTCCACCCCCTAAAATTCCACAGGTAGTGATACCATTTTGTGAAAAATAAACCAGACAGGTTGAGGTAACTGATACAACTAAACTAATAAATTAATCCCCAAGAATAAATCATTTATTTGGGAAAAACCGCATTTACCATCTATCAGACCATGACAGAAAAATTAATGTGGTGTCTCGGTATAATGGAAGGAGCACAGATGTTGCATCCAAACAGGCCTAGGTGTGAATCATAATTCTGCCCTTTGTTAAAGTACTGAACCTTCCTAAATTTTCATTTTCTTCTTATAGTAGAAACTGGAGCAAATACCATCTAAGTGCTGACTAGCATAAAAGCCACAGCTGTAATTTTATTATTCTGATCGAACTAATCAACATACCCCAAATCTGTTATATTCATACTCAACAGAGTAAGTAGAATGAGGAATACAAAGTAACAAAATTAAAGCCCTTTACAAGGGGTGTCTCTACAGAAGCAGAGATACTACTCTACTTACACAGATATAACTGCCTCAGAAAGCCAAGGAGGGGTCATCACTTGTGAGTTAGAAAATGAATCAATGGTGTGAGGGTTTTTTTTCCCCCATTAATCACAGATTAAGATACTGGAAAAAAAATAAAGCTTTCTGTTTCTGAAAGTAAGTCCAAACTAAAGGATTGGTGTGTGATAACAAGGCGCCCAGGTGGCGAAATGGTTTAAGTGCTCAGCTGCTAAGTGAAAGATTGGTAGTTTGATCCCACCAGTAGCTCCACAGAAGAAAAGTCCTGGCATTGTGCTCCCATAAAGACTTAACCTAGGAACCCCTATGAGGTAGCTCTATTCTGTCACACAGGGTCACTATAAGTCACAAATGGCACACAACAAAAACAACACAGTAATAGGTAAGTCAAAAGATGATATACTGGGGGGAGGGGGTTGGAATAATTGGACAAAATGGTAAATAACTTAAGGACACAAAATATAGTTAGATTAATAATGGGAACATATGCTTTATAAACTATGGACTTTTGGATTTTGTGAAAGATGTGAGACTGGTAATTTTCATCAAAGTCTCTACATTCTTAAGACCAAATCCGGCTATATAATAAAGTACTGTCTAACATCTCAGTGAAGACTACAAATAATGTGGATAAGTCCAAAACTGAAGAGCTACTTCATCATGGCTAGTGTTGACTGTTATATATACACCTTAGTTGTAGTGACAACAAGAAATAACCAAGTCTAGGGCCCTAACTCTCAATTCCTCCTTTTCTTCCCCCTATTTAAATTCTTTATTTTCCCTAACAAGTTTTCTTTTCTACTTTGCTTACATTCCAGAACTCATCCATGTTACATTATTTTGAGCAAATGACCCCACCATCTTTACCATTTACTGAGCAAAAAACAAAACAAAACAAACAAAAAAAGCCACATATCCACCTCAAATATTCTTAGCCACTGTGATGAGATGAATTTCCCCTCCCTCTTTCAAAGGTGTACCTTTCTACTCAAAGTTCTGCCCTGGCTTCATGTGATTTACCAGCAAACACTACTGAAGTAGAAGTATTCCCCAGCTTGAAATCAGCTCTGGACAATTTCAATAAAAACAAAATCTAAGTTTCAAGCCTTGATTTCTTTTAAACATCAAATTTACATACATAAAGGCCTGGACTACTTGAGAATATCTAACTTAGAAAGCTTTTGGGGGGTGGGGGGGAGGCAGGGGAGCCTCCTAAAACTATTCCTCTTCTGTAATTATCTGTTTTATATATATATAGAGAGAGAGAGAGAGAGAGAGAGAGAGAGAGTGTTTTGACAATCCTTGTATTTCATATCTTACTCTCATCAAGACCGTCTTCTGTTGTCATTTCCCTAGTTTTTAAAACTGTATTTATCTGTAATTATCGACATCCATTCCCAAGCAGATCATCCCGAGTCTAGTGTTCCAAATTACCCTTCCAATGTGTACTTTATACTTTTACTTGTACTTCCTCACGTACAAATACGATCCTTTTACATCCCTAAAAAAAAAATATCTCCAATTGTTTCATACTACAGAATACAATCCACAATCCTGACATGACAATCAAAGTCCTTCACAAACTAACTCCAATAGATCTTTACAACCTGTGTATCAAAAGCACAGGTTCTGAGGTTAGTAAGACACGATTCAAATTCCAGCTCCACAACTTATTATTCAACCTCTCGGTGTCCTCATCTACAGAGCAGGACTAGTAATAGTAAATCCTGAAAAAGTCAGACCCTGCGTAAGGTGACAACGTTTCATAGACAGAAAACTCAAATCTTTTCCACTAACACAGCAGAAACAGAAGAGTGCTAAGATTGTAGCCTGTCAGAGGCAGAAAACTTTAAGACCCAGGAAAAAAAGGCAGTTCTATCAAGTTCTAGCTCTCACAGGTTTCACTATACCTACACTTCACATGAAAGCTGCAAAAATGCACTTAACACAATACCTAGAAGACTTTCAGAGCTCAAGCAGTGTTACCATTAGGGAGGTCAAACAATTTATCATTAAAATTAGAACACTTTTTAGAATGAATATAATCACTCGCTATTAATAACTAACTGCGTTGCTATAACATGCATAAACGGGGACTTTCCTTGGCAAATTATGACACAGAAGCATCCTATTACTGTTACCATGCCCTTTCACTAAAACTTTCTATCCTATGCACCAGCAAACGTGAGCTCCAGCAGCATATCTTGTACTGTACTTTGTTCACTCCTTGCACAAGGGATGACATTCTCTCATTTTACTTATCCAAGGCCAATTCAACTCAAGCTCCACAGTAATGCTTCGCCAGATTATTCCAAGTTGAATTGATATCTAGATTAATTGCTACAATTAAAGTTCTACGAAAGCAATTTTCTGTTGCTTGCTTTTCCCCCAGCACTCTAGGAAACATTTTTTAAATGTGTATGATGATTCTCTCTCTCTCACTCCTCTCATCTTAAACATTTTCAGAACTGTTATCACAATGCTTTTTACAATGAACTCCATCTCCCCTCATGAAACTGTTAACCCTACAAAGGGACTCATCTATGTAAACCTCATAATACCTGGTAACAGTGGACACCCAAATGTTTGTTGAACAAAAGAAATGGAGCTTAAACTCAGAATTGTCTATTTCTCCTCTGTTATCAGTTGTA